CCAGAGTTTCGCTAAGAAATTAGCATATATGGTGAAAAGTTGGCCAAAACGTCAAAATCTTTTTGCTACTATTAAGAAGAAAGACCAAAGAAGTTTTTCAAACAAAAAATATATTTTTTACTCCATTTTCAGAACCTTGAAAATTTTTGTCTTTTCTAGAGTCAACGTGGCACCATAAATTTGTTTGGGAAATGTGAGGGCCTTCCTTTTTACGATGAAAAACACATTGATTTGGAAATTCTTGCAAAATTCAGATAATAGTCGGCTTTTAATGAAACTTAAATGAATGAAATTATTTTTGGAATGTTTCTTTTTTAGAAAATCTTGGTAAAATCTTTTTTATATATATGCACCCCCCCCCCAAACACACACTTATTTAATTTTGTGAAAACCGATAAATTCTTTTTGTAGCATTTAATGTTTATATTAGTTATAAGGACAAGTATTTCGAGAATTTAAATTATTTTTTTAGTCAGGTTAAAGAAAATCTGCTCTGAATCGTAAAATATAAAATGCAATAAAACTAAGATATTATTTAATTAGAAAAGCATTTAATTACGTTTATGAATAAATATACTTAATAAAATAGTACTTAATGTTCATTAAAATATTAGAATGCTTAAAATATTTAAATTTTTTAAGGTTACTGGGTAGTTAAAAATATTTTTAAAAAGTGCGTTTACGTTCTATTTATTATGTAATATTATTATAATTATCTGCTCCTTAGTTAAATTTCCCAAACACCAGGCTATCAACAGATATACTTCATCATGTGGAATCGCTTCACTCTGTTGACTGTTTTCACACTGTATAATACTGTAACTTTCTTTCTTTCTGTAAATTGTAAAACATACTACTGGCTACCTGCTTTACCCATTTTAAACTGCCGGTCTCCTGTTATGTTTCAGCTTTTGTCATATTTCTGGTTTCCCTTCCTTTCCATTGTTTTATTTATTTTGTTATTCTGACTAAACTAGTCCCAAGTTTATATTTCTTTCATTTGTAGTTTTAAGCTTTTGCCTTTCAATAAGCCTGCTGCTGAACAGAACTTTGTCTTCAGAGTTTTGATTGCCGTAAGGCGTTTATCTGTTTGTCTGTGGTACGCGCGCGTGCGAAACGGATGCATATCAAGGGTCAGTTCACCAGTTATAGGATACAAATCCTATATCATTCCAACAAATTACTAAAAAACACAAAGTAGATTTGCACACCCGCAAAATCGGATCAAAACGACTAAAAACAGATTTCGCAATAAGGTGTGAAATTAATTTTCTGACCAATGAAAGGAGGCGATTTGCTAAACCAAAAAAAAAAAAAAGATAACGAGCCACTGTGAAAAAAATTCAACAATAAATAGAGAGTTTCAAGTCAGTCACCAGTCAGAAGGGCGCAGAGATCACAGAAGACTAACAGTAAATTTCAACACTGACTCAACCGACACTAAGAGCCGAAAGTGGAGTAGGAAAGAACAACAAATTTACAACTGACTCCTAAGTACATTTTCCTCTTATCTTTTATTTCTCATCCACACTCTCTTTTTCAACTTAAATTGATCGCCCCTTTTTCCTTTACACATATACAAAAGCAAAAAAAAACAGACATTACTCTGTTAAAAGACAGCGAACACAGACATTTTTGTCAAAAATCACATTTTGCTTAAACTAACTAAAGCATTAATCCTTTTTACCCTATTCACAAGATAATAAATATACAATGTTCTATTTTCTACAAACGTTCCTTATCGTGTTGTTTCTTCTTGAAATTTGCGTTGTATTTTGTGGACAGGGTATCCCGTATTAAATTCTCCTTTTAATCCGGGTACGCTGAACCCTACACAGTTGTTCATAACAAAAATATCGATATATTAAAAAAAAATGTGTGGGGAATTACCATTACATACATACATACATACATACATACATAGAACGGGCGATGTAGCTGAAGTCTAAAACACCAAAATATAAAAATCTCAAATACAGAAATCGAACTGATAAAATTTTGTCTCTGCGCATAAGGATCGGCGCAAAACTTCCGATAAGAATAAATTAAGAAATTAAAATAGATAAAATTTTAATTTCTAACCTATTACAGGCTTTCCAGCTTCTTTTTGGTAACCGTGAAAATCAGACTGTAAGCCAGTTTTATTCATTTAAACGAGATTTTTTTTTTGTTTTAATTACTATAGAAGAGAATGACACCTTAATTTAAGAAAGACACTGTCTCGGAGCCACGAGAATTCGCGAGAGTAGGTGAACGTACGCAAATTTGTTTGCGAGATCAGCTATTTCGGCGAAAATGACAGCGGGGAAGCACTGTACACAGCTTTTGCCACGGACGGTTTTCTAACTTATGAGCAATTTGCTGAGCGACGGCTCCGTCCCGGAGAATCGGTGGATGTCTATATGGCGGAGTTACGAAAACTTTCCATCCTGTTCGGCGGAATGAGTGGCCTGGCATGTGCGTGTGTGGTTTATTTTACCAGACCGAGTTAAACACTTCCTTCGCACTTCGACCCGGATGGACGAGTTGTTGACCATCTGTTGACTAGAGCGCGAGCAAGTATAAAAGATTGGAAGAGGGACTACGAACAACACAAGGAGCGAACAACACAGGGAGCGGGATATGCGGTTTGGGTAAAGACCCCACATGGTCGATATTCAACTCAATTCAAAAAGGAACAGTAGCACAGGTCTACGGCCCGCATTCAGTTCTCATCAATGGAACGCCACATCATATCAGAGACCTCCGCCCGTGCCAGAGATCTGCTTCGTCGGAATATGACGGCAGTGATATGTCATCTGAAAGCGATTCAGATTCGTCGCAGGGCCAGATTATTCACCTATAGAACCAACGGAAACAGATACTGGAGACAACGATGATAAAGCCAGTAACGATTGAGACCAAGTGGGCACAAATTCAGAAAAGACGTGCGGAGCCTGTCCAACTTTACGTAGAAGTACTCGGCGAAGGCAACTTTCATCTCCGTGTCATTTATGTGATAAGGAGATCAGGGAGGAGTGTAGAAGAGAATGACACTTTAATTTAAGAAAAACACTGTCTTGGAGATCCGAGAATTCGAGAGAGTGGGTGGACGTATGCAAACTTGTTTGCGAGATCAACTGGATATAAATTCACGACACAAGAGAGGAGAACCGCGTTCATTTTTGGAACGGTGTGCTGTTTTTAGTTGGGAGAGACTTTGACATTTGGAAAAGCGATTACTTGGATCAGTTTCACACTATTACCACTTGCCATTAACGTTTCCTGCAGTTACACGTACTTACGTCGAGCTGGATCTCATTCCAAAAAGCTGACACAACGTTCATTACAGTTGGTTATTATTTATTAATTGATTTATTGAATGTTTGTTCTGTTTTAGTATGAAAATTTGTCATTTTAAATATATTAAATTTTACAAAAACTTGTATTAAAACAAAATAAAAATAATTGGATGCAAAGACATTACAGGTGTCTTCTTTCCGATTAACAACACTAATTTTTTTTAGCTTAATAAACTTCGTATTGCTTTTCTATTAAATTCTTACAGTATTATTAAGTAATCGTCTTACTCTTTTGAGTGTTAATGAGAAAGTTGGTTTTCAAGTGCTTGCCAGCTGATGGAATGGTTTTAATTTTTCTGGTAAGCGGAAAGTCAAATATTTGAACAGTATTTTCTTTATTTCTTTCTTTCTACCTTTCAGGGTATTTTCACACGAATCTTATCTGTAAAATTGCTCTGTGAAATTTGACCGCTCAAAACATCGCTAGCTCTTTCCCATATCAAGCACACAATATATGTTGTTTTACCATAACAAATATCATCTTCCAAATTTACTCTTTCTGCATAAATTCGGCTTAACGAAGGCATAACTATAAACACTATCTCTGATGACAATATATGTCGCACGTTTGCCTTGAATTTAATTAATTTTTAAAAAATGAAAATCTTGTCGGAGTCAGCTCCTCCTTAATTTCCTAATTGTCACTAGGACACGTTCTCCCTACACTATAAATACTGGGCGACTTCTTGTCTCGATCTTTTTTTACTTTGCATTTCAGCGGACACATTTAAAAATGTGATCTCTCGCAGAAATCTTTGTTTTGCCCACTTGTGAGAAAACGCCTTGAAACACACATACACGTACGTACGAACTTTCACCACTATACAAACTCTTTACGTTCACACACAAATGATGATGTCTTTGCCACTTGTAAATTTGTTGTTTAATACATATATTTGTTTATATATATACATCGGTCTTGTTTGTCTTCTTTACATCTTCGATTGGATTCAGCTTGAGTCCGCCATATTTTTGTAGTTGGACCTTTTTCTAGCAGGAATAAACGCACGTGTTCCTAATATAACAACTCGCAAACACACACGGTCCTCTACAAACTTTCATCGTTCATTTCATCAAATGAAATTATCTATTTTGGTAAAATAACAAATAAAAGCAACAAAAAATAGTGATATTTTGTCTGATTCAGACACGACTCTTGTAAATTTAGATTTAATTATTTTTAGGACTATGCCATTTTCCCTATATGCTAGACTTCAAACTTTTCTTTTAAAAATATGATTAGGCATTGCAAAATAAAAATATTCAAGAAAAATAACTCCATAAAATTTTATATAATTATCTCCCCTGATATAGGATTATCTTGTGAAAATACAATGAGTCAATAAACAAAATTTTTATGTGACTACCTGATTATATAATTTCATATTTACTGTCGGCACCAGTGATCTGTGTTCAAGATCAGGTAACAGACAAGTTTTCGAATACAGATTTCCTCTCACATTTGTAATATTAGTGCAGCACAATTTTCTTACACGCATTCTCCTTCCCAATTTGATATTGTGCCATTATAATCTAAGCTTATCTGTTTGCTCTCGGCGCTAGTGTGGTTACTATTTGTGCCCAAATTTTATATGCTGATTTTTAATGCAGGCAAGAAGCTTCCTATCCTCATTAAGCTTAGTATTAGTTTTTGATCTTATGGTCAAATCATGCTGAAATACCTGTTCACGTTTGATCCCTGAGGTTAAGCAGTGTCGAGCACGGTCAGTACTTAGATGGGAGACTGCTTGGCAACGTCAGGTAATGTAAGCAATACCCAAGCAAAGTAGACCCGATGGAACCGATCCCTCTCCAAATGATAAAAATATAAAACAAAGTTTGTTTGTTCCTCCTTAATTATCCAAATTGTTCACTTGGGGTCGCGCTCCTTACACTATAAATACTGGGCGACTTCTTGCATCGTTCACTTTTTACTTTGCATTTCAGCGAATACATCTACAATGTAAGCTCTCGCAGAAGATTGCGTCTTCCCATTTGTGGGAGACGCCATGAATATTATACACACATACACGTACGTACGAACATTCACCAAAATACAAACTCTTTACGTTCACACACAAACACAAATGTTAATGTTTATGTCTATTTTAAATTGTGTTGTTTAATACATATATTTGTTGATATATATATATATATATATATATATATATATATATATATATATATATATATCACGGTCTTGTTGGTTTTCTTTACACTTTTTATGGTGGATTCAATCTCTGAGTCCGCCATGTTCTTGTAGTTGGACCTTCTTCTAGCAGGAATAAACGCACGTGTTCCTAATTTAACAACACGTACCCACCCCAGGTCCACTACATGTTTCTTAATGATTACCATATTTTGCAATTTACAGATATTAACTTTGAAAATGATAAAAAGATGGACATTTGTGTCGCAGGAAAATTTTGTCGCAGAATTCTTCTAAGCGAAGAGAGTTAACCAATGTTTTTCAACAAAGTTAATAATGTGGCAAGTTTTTTCAGCCGTTGATCTGTAGGTGGAAAGAAATAACACGTTTTTGTCAAATTGAAAGAGAGTTATTTCCCTTGTGGGGTCATTACTAAACTAAGCATCTTTTCATTTAATACTATGTCTTTATAAACCATTCGTCCGCACATTGAATATTGCTGCCATATCTGGTCTGGTGCTCCTGCTATATATCTCCTGGAACATTTGTCCTTCAAACAATATTGGCAGACTCAATGTGAATTCGGGTAAAATATATACAACAAAATAATATATATTAAACAAACGACAATGCATGTTGTTAACAAAAGGAATTACATGTGTAGACAATTGTAATGGACATTAAAACTAGTTATAAGAGTTTGCTTGTGTGTGTAACAATCATGTGTCATTGACACCTGTGTGTATATACTGGTGTGAGAAAGAAGGAATCGAACGCGCCTCAGCGGCAGCGTTTCTATCTACATGCGACTAAATCTGGAAGCAAGAGTTAAAAGGACTAAAAAGAGAGAGAATATCATTGCCTTTTGGTAGGTTTAAAGAGCGCCCCCTAGCAGGTGTTTTCGCAAAGCCAAGTGGGATAACCCACAGAACTCTCTCCCTGTTTCTTGCATCCCTGCCACCTACAATCTTCAAAAAGTTAAATGCAACGCTAATCGCCATCTTATTTTCTTGAACCCTGGCTTTTATTGTCCTTTCTATCCCTAAGATTTTCTAATTCTCTTTCACTCCCAGTAACCCCTTGCGTCATAGTGACATTATCGCCTTGCTTGGGTTGAAATGGTTAAAAAAAACTACTATTTTTCACATTGCGCATTCTATTTATAGTTTAAATCTCCTGTGAGAAAAATAATCAATACTGATTTAAAAATTTACTTACTATACAAAATGAAATCAACTTTTGTCGTAGAGTTGTAAGCATTTTTGAACAGCAGTATATTTTTTTATCAACAGTTTCAATACTGTAGTTTTTGGCCATAAAATACTAATAATAATGAACAGTGATACTTTTTTTGCGTTATTTAATTCTCTGTCCATAAATTTTGTCTCGCGAAAACAAACATATATATAATTAACAAATAAATCCTGTCCAGATATGATCGTCCATTCTAGATAAGTGACATTTCCACTACGCCAGCGTTCTGCTATTTGAAATACACGGTAAAATTATCTGAAAAATATTAAGGGAGGAAGAGCACAGTTACTACACTAATCGTAGACAGAGGACCAGGGAAGGCCACTATCCTATGCAGAACTCACAAATGTTCTGATCCTAGGCAGAATGAGAAAACGGAATGTCAAGTTGGAATTCCAGTTGGGTTCATTACACTTACGCGCAAATACCCTTGGGAAAAGTATGACTCCATGTACTCCTCCTCCGGCTATGGGATAAATAATGGGACTTGTATCTGAAAAAAATCATTGTTATTCTGAAAAAATTGTTAATGCAATATTCACTCGCAAAAACTAATTAAAAATATTTCGGTTTTAAATAACCCAGAAATGGTCGATAAGATATATACAGATGCTGCGGCGAAAACAACAGCTGTGTCGCCAACAATGCCTTCAATCTTTCATCGCAATGTAATTCTCTTTATTAAAAAATCTTCCAAAAATAAATTTAATGAAATTTTATTTGGGGAATATTAGCTGATTTAAAGCATAATTAATCTGATTTGAAACAAATACTATATACTTTAAGTTTAAAATATCGCAGAAATGCATTTTTAACCCGACAGTAGCTGTGTTTTTAAATCGACAGTAGCTGTCCTTATATGCTGACAGCGTGATGACAGATCTAATGTTCTTTCAAAATGTTTAAGTAATCTAACGTTTAAATATATTTTAAAATATGTATGTTTTAAAATATTCTAAGTAATCTAAGCTTTATTGAATTTTAGGTACTTTGGTTTTAAATTTACTATAGTTACTGCACTTATTTTCTGATTATGTCTTGTACGGACGTCTGCATTTACAAAAAGCGGCACGTTTATACACACACACAAAAGATTCCAAATTCTTTTTAAAATACTGAGGGTCGCTGAATTATAGTAAGCTTTTCCATTAATGATTAGTTAATATAGTTTTTACTTAATAACAGTATCACTTAACCGGTACAAATTAATACAAAATTTTAAAAGATTTAAAACTTTATAAATTATTCTAATTAATTTTTAAAAAATTGAAAGCAATTCTTTATGAATACATTATTCATCGAAAAAATTTTTTTAAGACAATAGACAATATTTTTGTTCATAAAAGTTATGGAACACTATCCTAATTAAATAATGTTTTACTTTTATTATATTTTTTGTTTTAAGACTCAGAGCAGATTTTCGGTAACTGTCGTACTGATTTATAAAAGAAAATGACGATTTAAATTATCGTTATAATTTAGCGATACAAAAATGGATTTCTCAAAAATTCATAAAATTTAATAAGTAAAACAACAGATGTAAAATAAAATAACAGATGTAGAAAAAATATTTTCATCAAGATTTTCTAAAAAAGAAACGTTTCAAAAATAATTCATTTGTAAGTCCTGAAAGTTTCATTAAAATCCGGCAATTATTTGATTTTTACAATAATTTCCAAATCAACGTTTTTCATTTTTCATCGCAAAAGATGCTAAAATATCCTATACTTATTTATGGCCATCCGCTGACAAAAACAAAAAAATAAAGTAAAATTTTGAATGTTCTAAAAACAGATTTAAAAATATAATTTAATAATCAAAAGATCCTTTGGTATTTCCTCTTAATAATAACGTAAAGATTTGTTTTTAAGTTTGGGGTATTTTTTCATCTTATATTCTCATTTTTACCGAATCTTTGGAGGTAACTACATTATAGGTGTAGCCGGATATATTTATTATGCATTTTCTTGTCGATTAAACAATTTGTTTATTCTTGTTATTTACTAAGCATAGTGTATTTAAGGCATAAGGACACAAGTATGGAGCTCTCAGTGAAGATCGAACTTACTACTAGTACAAGTCCAGCGTGTGTTAACCCTTGTAATTACAGCATGATGAAATGCTCAACAACTTGTTTATACTTGACTTGCATTGTTCACTAACTTGATATCTTCATTACCGTGACAAAACACGTTTTTAGTGGTAACTATTGTAGAGGGCTGTGGCTGTTATGTTGTTGATAGAAGTCAGACGTAGAAGAAACGCATGTAAGGTTCAGATTTTTCCTGCTCGCCGGGCCCAACTACATAAAAAGGTTGGATTTTGATTAAGCCCAAAGAAGAAGGCAAAGAAAGCAAACAAAACACAAGACCAATAATATATGTATATACAAATATATATTAATAACAAGTTACAATACATGGAAAGAGTACAAAGGATGAAGTGTATGGGAATATTCTGTATGTGCGTGCGTGTGTGAATATTCTGTATGTACGTGTGTGTGTATTGTGCTTAGCGCGCTCCCAGCATTTGGGAAACGCTATCCCTTGTTAGCACCTACATTTCGAGGTTGATAGCTGCAAGCCTGAGAAAAAAGAGAGAGAGAGGCGAAGGGTCCGCGGCTATTTATAGCAGCGAAGAACGACCCCTGGTGAAAGGGTTAATGTACTAAAGGAGGAGTTAACTCCGACACTATGTTAATTTCAACATGATAACGTTTTGGTGCGTGACCAGTAAATAAGATTATATAACGATCCAAATCTTGAAAATTGAAAAAACACATATCAGTTTTAGTATAAAAAAAAGGTGATTGCCCAAGATTCGCCTGGATTTCTTTACCGGTAAGAAAAACCGCTGATAATAGATACCGTTACTTACATGTTATACAAAAAATTTTTTTCTTTTTGCATATTAATCATGTTAATGAACTAAAAGAAAATGGTGGGTGCAGGTTGGGTGAGCGTATGATCAAGTTAAGCCGAAAATCCCAATACCGGAATTAAGCAGCTTCGAGCAAGCACTGTTATCAATTAGAAATATCAGGCACTAGAAGTAACTTGATGCCTAACTACAAAAGAGAACCGAGCGGCATAATGGTTAGTCGTTCTCAAAATCGGCACCAGTAGAAATGAGTTCGACCGATGACTGATCTATTTATGTTCATTCTTATTATTTCACTTATGGAAAGCAATAATCTAGGGTCAGTTTGGATGGAGGGCTGTAACATATATCATAAAGGAGGCTTGATTTAAAAATTGCACATAAATACTAATTCACAACTTATTTACTAGCATAGCGATTCATCTCATAAAACAGGTAAATATTTAACATAATAAAAAAAACAGAAAAATATGAGGTAAATGATTCT